CTGACTCTGAGCTATCTTGCCCATTCTCTTAAGCAGGATGAAAACCAATCAAGCAATGGAAAACCAAAGTGAAAATTAGTTGTGTCTCACTCCCTCTTTGGTAAAAGCACCCCATGCCTACTCTACCTTAAAAGGAGAACATGTACTTTTTTTGTACGTAGAGACTATACAATGCAGGCCCCCTGCTCTTTTCAGGGAGGGAATGTAAGCAGATCCATGAAGAAACCACTCAGCTCAGCAATTTTAGGACTTGTTGTAATTGGCCTGCCCTAAAAGAATTCAGCAAGCTGTACCTGTGCCAAGGAAAATACAGATCCTTCCCTGAAACAGTCACATAGGGTGGATGAGAGAAGCTGAACTCATCTGCAAAACTAAGTAGAAAAGCAAGGCAGACAGATTATTCCGGAAATCAGAAATGGACCATTTTCTCACTTAGTCGTGGGTGGAGGTCACATCAACTGAACTGGTCATATTAGGCAGGGTAAGTGATGTATTCAGGGGGAGGTTGTTGGGTAGAAGACTTCCTCCTTCTACCGCATTGTTTCTCTGAGGAGTAAGACCAATCTTGCTCCCCACCAGTTGCCCCAGTCCTTTTCTGAACTCAGCATCTTCCACCTTACTGTGGGTGCTGGGAGTAACTGGAGATACTCTCTGACATCCTTAAGCCTGGAAGAAACTTCTTACTGACTGATCACTCCTGACTATGATTTCTCACATCTATTTTCTATTAAAAATGTAAAAACTAGGAACACAATTTTGGGTGTCTATTATTTTTCTCCTTGCACCCTATAATTCTTTGCAGCACTGTACACTTGATGGGCTCCTCCTACTCCCCCATTTCTCCTGACTGCCACAAGAGTAGGCTTAGTGGTCCCAACTACAATCCTAGTGCTTACTATGGTCCTTGTCCCATAATAGTTCCAAATAATGAACACATTAGTTTAGATCACTATGGACATTTTCTTGCAAAATTTTGCATAATTTCTAACATTTTGATTTCTGTCATATATATTTGAGCATATAGGAGGTACATAGCCCACACTTGGCTGGTTGAGATTTTTTTGATGACTTGATTGTCTTGTCGCCGGGAAGGTGCTCTTGAATGTTCTTCCCGGGGAGGTGTGCTAGTAAGAGCAATGGAGAAGTTAAGTCTTAGAATGGCTTTAGCTTCCTTTCTGTTGCTCTCCGTTCTGAAGATCTTTCAATGCCATGCCTCTTCCTTCTTCTTCCACATTATCCTTATTCTTACCTCTCACCACCTCTTGAGACCCTGTGATGGTCTTGGAGGTGTTCCAGGTATCTTGAGCCTCCATGTAGATTCTCACTTCATTTCCCCCCCCCCCTTCTAAATTTCCTTTACTGAGTTCATGTTTCTCCTTTTTCCTTCAGCTCTAACCTCTGTGTCTTTACCCTGCTTGGATTAAGTCCTCTGTTCCCTCTACTCAGTCAGAGGTCAATTCTTTAATGTTTCATTTCTCTGGACTTCCATCCATGCCAACTTTCCACTCTTTTACGACTCTGCCCCAGCCCACATCATACAAACAAATCCCAAACACATACCAGCACTACTCAAAGCACCATAGTGTTTCTTTTTCCTTATTGGCAATCTGCATCTTTTTATTTCTCTTGTTCCTGTTTTTCTACCTGCCCTAGGTGCATTGGAAGGTTTATACACATTTACAAAAGATAGCATAATGAGTAACAATGTCACTTATGCTTTTTAACAGTATCATGTCACAAGTAGTGGCTATTCAACTGGAAGTGGCATTATAAAAATTACTATAATTCTGACTTTTAAAAATCCTGATTAATTTTAGGCTCTGTCCTTATATTCTGACAGTGCATACTGAAGTTACCATTTTTCTTTTTCTTTGTTTCCATGTCTTGCTGATGCAGTTTGTATGTGTATATTTTGCATACTCTTCCATGAGAATAGCCTACGATGAAATTGACATTGGAGGCAGCACTTAGAGATCAAGCAGTATTCAATTAAATCATATTATGGAGGAAATTCAGACCTGAGGGGTGGAGGTATTTGACAAGAGGCTTCTAAACATGTATTTTAAAACCTGAGATTCTCCTTAAATTAACTGAATGTAAGAGCTTTGTCTTTTCTTTTGTGTTTTCTAGTAGGATAAAGGGAATTTGTCTCCACCTGGGAGTCGTATAAATATTGAAATTACCTGAGATAGTAAAATAAATACTCTGTTCAAGAGAAAGAGAAGAAAAGGCAAGAAACACACTTTGAGTTTTGGTGATAATTGAGTGTATCAGACCATGAGGACCCATAGTAGTCAATATACTGTCCGTGAGCATTTCATGTGGAGAAATGCTTTGGGTCCATTTTCTCCTTTTGGACTCTAGATTGTTCACTTAATCAAAGACTTTAAGAGCAAAAGGGATTCCCAAGGGTTATTTCCTCCCAGTAAGTCTTTGTGCTTGAGCCCTCACTTTTACCAAACAACTGATGACCGACCCTCATAGGCTTCTCCAGACAGGAAGTGACCTTTCTAAATCTGAATTGAACTAGCAGAATGTTTTTCTTCTAGTGTATTAAAAAACATTCTCTGATGTTTCTCTCTATTGGTTCATTCTATTCTCTGAAGCCTGGTAGGGCAAATTCCATCCCTTTGGATATTTAAAACAGTAATTATTTTCTATATGGAGTTATATCTTCTTCTGTCAAAACCTTCCCAGTTTACCAAATTCTTCACTTGGGCTTTTCAGTCTGTCTATACTGTATGGACTGTTCCACTTTGCCTGGAGGCAGTCAGGATGCTGTGCTCAGTCCATAGGAGACAAGACTTCTTCCGACTCCATTCATTTTCCTGTGTGTCAGCCTCTAACCTAGGGTTCTTCAGTGCTCTCCACTTCCTGATACTTTCTCCTCGAGAAATATTTCTGAACTTAGATTCATCCTTCAGAGAAGTCCTAATGCTGAAGGCCCATGTGTATGGAGAAAGTGGGGTCTACAAAAGAAGCACCTTACATAGAAGGCTTCCTCCTATCTCACTTTCCACAAAGAATGGGCAAGGCTAGTCTTGCCCAAAATAACTCCCCACTAGTTGCCTTAGACCTTCAAAGAGTCCCCAAAATGAGAATTGGGGAATTGCCCAAAAGGGAATCATATGTATTAGCAACTTTCCTTGAGTTCTCTAATTCCTTTTTGTGCTTTATTTGACCTGACTTACAATAAATTTTAAGTGTCTTCAGGCAGGCTGCCCATCTCATATTCAGCCTAGGGTCCAATGTAGGTCTGAGAAGTAGTCCGTGCACAGTAACAGAATAATGATTTGACTTGTCTTCATCATCATCATTGCCATCATTTGCATGGTGAAGTGCTCTTTTCATGGAAGGCTGTTTTTTGCTATTTGTTTATGTAGCCTTTATTCCCATTGTTTTGTGTTTCCTATAGAGAAAGTCCTTGTGATTTTTAATAAATGGAGTTTTATGGAGTTTTATGATTTTACTGCAAGTTCAGTCTTCCCATATGGTGATGGCGGAATTATTGCAGGCCAGCGAGAACTGACACTTACTTTGCTGAAGTTAATATGAGTGTTTTATGCTGAACTCTGGACCTGAGTTCCCTTTTTCAGGATAGCCAGCTGAGTCACTGAGGCAATGTGAGAAGGTGAAAAGGACTTCAAGGCTTCAATGACTTAGGTTTGATCCTGATCTCTGCCATTTATTTTCAGGTCAGCTAACCACTCTGACCTCAGTCTCTTTATCCATAAAATGGAGCTAACCTAACTGCATCCAACATCTTAGAATTGCTATGGTGAAATGAGATAACGTGTCACAACACATCTAGAAAACTCTGACCACAGCACTCTGGTCTTCTGCAAAGTTTCTTTATCGGATTCTGCTATCTGCACTGGTAAATAAAGATCTTCCCAACAGACCCATTGGTTCTTTTCTCTGCTTTTGACGTAATGACAAATTCTCTCCTTAGGCTCAGGCAGGATTTCTCCATCATTCCCAGCATGCTGTCTTCATGTGGGAGAGTCAGTCAATACTCCTCACTGGTGCAGCTTGAGGAAGGTCAGTGAGCGTGATTTCCCTTCTCTCTAGTGTCAGAACAGAGTGTAGACACAGAGTGTGGATATAGTCAGGAAACCTGTAGCCTATCTTAGCTCCCTGATCTTAGGTTTTTCCAGAGCATTGGCTATCTTGCTTGGTGGCATGAGGCTCTGATTCTATTTGTGGAAAGAGTAATAGTTTTGATTTCCTACCTGTCTGCCAGAGTGGGTAAGAATGAATGAGCTTGTATCTCTCTGGAGAACGATTACTGTTTGGACATAGTGTCTGTTTCCTTCAAGGTAGGGAGAAGTGAGTTGGACTCCAAAAGGCTGAGTGGCCACACTCAGGCGAGAGTCCAGGAGACAGGACCATCACCCTTTACTCAGACGGTGGAGACCACGCCTGTCTCCCCAGAACAGCCCTGTGTGAATGTCCGACTTTATGATGCATTTGTGCCGGGGAGGGAATTGGACACGAAGCAGAGGCACATGGTTGGCAATCGCAACGGCCCATACAGAGCATCAGCTGTGCGTAGCTGACTCACACTACACTCACCTGGATTGAGAGACCTGCAGGCACGGAGATCTCTGTCTCTCCAGGGTATTTCCCTGATTAATTATGGAGGACCTCAACATGGCAGCTCACACAGAAGCCGTTATTCGTGGCTGGGGTCGGACCCCACACCCTCTGGGGCACACTCATCTCTTCTCTCGCCCTTCTCCCTGGGAGGCACCGTCCCAGCTGGGGACCGCCTTGCCATGCCCCACATCTCCCACAAGGGGGAGCCCCCGGAGGGCAGCTGGGGCTTTGGAATTTTGGAAGCGCTGAAGTTTTCTCCTCCTGTCCTCTAAACTGATTGTCGCACACCCAACTGTGAGATTCCTTTGTTGCAACATTGGGGTCTAAGATAACATTTCTGGAGGCTGCAGGAGAGAACCACAGCTGATACTATCTTTGATTGTTTGTTTTTATTTACCTAGCATTATAAACAGAGGAAGAAAAGTAACAAAGAGCTTGAAGACAAGCCAGGCTGGCAGGCCCTAGATGGAGGCAGGCGGCATCCGACAGAACCAGGAAATCTGAGGGGCAGCCGGGAGGTGCTGTGGCTGCAAAGCCCAGGTAGGTGCCCGGGAGTGCTCATGTGAAAGACAGGCACGGAGCTCTGATGACCCAGGAGAGAATGGCGTGGCCAGGGATGGTCAGGAGAGAGTAAACGGGAAAGCAGTCAAGAGAGGAGTTAGGAGGTTGAGGGAGCAGAGAGGGAGTGCAAGAGAGAAAAAAAAAATGCTTGTAGGGTGTGATGCAAAAGACTGACCACAGAGTGGGGAGAAGGAGGGCTTGGGAACTGAATCAGAGACTTAAACTGGTTTGAAGTTGGTTCCAACTCGGCTGCCCCAGAAACTTCACAGGACATTAGAGGCCGAGAGTTTGAGAGCTCAGTTGCACAAGAAAATTCAAAGTGAGTAGGTGTGCCTGAAAATCAATCTGATCCTTCTGGTGCGTGTCACACAGTCACACCTACTCCGGACTGCTGACCTAATCCAGAAGGAATTCTGGTCTGATGGTGTTTTCAGGTTCAGGCTTTGCCCCCTCCTTCCACTCTCCCATGGTTGCTTGAGGTAATGGACCAGGAGTCAGAAGTTCTCTTTCCAGTCCAGACTCTGCCACTTAGTGAAATTAGCTTAATCGAGGAAATGTTGGAGTCTCCTTTCTCTTTCTCTATAAAAGGGAGATAATAATATATTACTGGTGAGCCTTATAGGATTTTTCTGAGGATTGAATAAGTAAGATAATGTGAATAAATGCTCATAATAGATTATAATTGCTAACTAAATAAAGGATGGCATTACTAATAATTAATCAGTTAATATACCCTTACTATTCTCAGCAGGGCATTTTTCTGCTGAGCTCTCTCTCTCTCTCTGTGTGTGTGTGTGTGTGTGTGTGTGTCTATTTGTGGGAAAATTTAAATACATGATTCCCTATTTTTATTCCACTTTCTAGAGTTACCTTTCTGGAAGATAAGTAGGAAACTTTGTGTTCTTTCCTTTTCAGCCACCTTCAAATGTTCTTTTTCCCAGCCTCTGCTACATTTTTCTATTTCTCAAGCACACAGATAATGATTGATGGTGTCTGCTTGGCAACCTGGAAGAGTGATTTGTCTGTGTCCTGGACACTGTGCCTCTGAATAAATGTCACCCCATATCTCAGGCACATGATCAGACCCACTATGTTTGGAAGGAGCAAATAAGAAGCTGTATATATTCCCATCACCCTATTCCCTGCCTGGGATGATCTTGCCAGATCTCTTGTTACTTGGTCATTGAAATATCTCAGATGGAAAGTTGGGTTCTGCACTCTAGATCAGCTGATTCAGTTGATCTATGAAGTCTGAAGTTGACCTCAGTGTCTGTGGACATGATCACCCTTTCCTCGGGCTCCAGAAGCAATGTGGTATATGGGGAAGGCAGTATAGACCATGGGAAAAGGCTCTTCTCTATCAGTTAAATAAAGTTGTGACTACCTTTCCTTCCAGCATCCAAATGTAGAAGTAAGGTGTGCAGGGGAGAATACCTGAATACATCAAAAGTTTCTCACTCTCCTGTGCTATATAATTGTAAGGTATCATCATCATTATTTTGCTGCATGTCCTTTGCTAGTGATTTACCTGTATTTCACAATCTAACTTATTTGAAAAACTACCTTTCCCCAGCTGTTAATATATCCTCATACTTTTCTCCATCACTTGTCTGATACATTGAATATTAAATGAGATGCTAAGTTTAAGTCACACACCTACTCACCTTCAAAAAGTTGATATCCCAGCTATATCTCATGTCTAGATGCATGATGTATATAGAGACTGTTTTTCTATAACCACAGGACTTATATATGTCCCTTCTCCCTTTATATGTGTCCATGTACTTGCTCCCCTTTTAATGGAAAAAATGTGCAATAGATATTTGAACAGAAAACCTATACCAACATTCACTAGCATTCTTACTTTGAGAGCAAATTGAATAGGGAAGAGGCTCATGCTCTATCAGCATTTCAGCTGTTTTAAAGTCCAAAAGTGACCACATTACACAATTCATGTGGTTAAAAAAAATCATGGATCAATTTCTGTTTTGTTCCTAGTAATGAATATCAATATCTTGCCTCTTCCAGACAGACTCTCAGCAGCTTCAGATATTTTTAAATGAGTTTTTTTAAAATACATTTGCAAAGTCAATTATTTTGAATCTCATCTGAAGCAATTAAAAAACATCCTGACATTTAAGGTGATATTTTTTCCCAAGTAAAATAATTATAAATAATACTAATTATGAGCAAATCATTCAGTTACTCTCAGTCTGATTCAACCTTTAGGTTAATAAACCAATCCATTAAAATTCATCTTGCTCAAAGGACCAATTTGTTAAAAAATGTAGCGACCTTTCACCACAAGTATGATTGATATTTTCTTTAACAATAATCAGAGCTGTCTTTCCCAGAAGAGAATGTGGTCAAGTGGTAGGTAAAGAAAACTGGGATCTGTTTATGCCTCACTTGATTATACTTCTCAGTTAGGTATTTCAGTGTTGGTGATGATGATGATAGTGAGGATAATGTACAAGATGAAAACTCGAATTTCAAAAAGTACCTTAAGAGATGTCCGAAAGTCTTAGGACAATCATTCATCAGAACTGTCTATGCCTTGCTTACTCCAGGAAAGATTTTACATCCAACTCTCCTTCTTCTTCTGGTGTTTCATTCTCTACAAAGATGAAGGGTAGGAATTTGCAAATAGGTCCAAATCCAGCATGCCACCTGTTTCTGTAAGTAAAGTTTTATCAGAAGAAAACACATCCATTCATTTCTATATTGTTGATGGTTGCCCTTCTTACTACAAAGGCAGAGGTGAGTAGTTATAAGAAACCACGTAGCCTACAAAATAGTTATTTGACCCTTTACAGAAAATAACTGCCTTCCTCAGATATAAGGTAATTAAAAACAAAAGAAAACAGTCATCTTTGAATTTTCAACAGCAACAAATATTTGAGCAGTACTTTATAGTTTATGAAGTCTGACTGTGTTATTTTGTAGCAGGTATTGTTATCCTCATTTAACTGATGAAAAATTACATTTTTCCCCCTATGGTCATTCAGCCTCTAAGGGGTGTAAGTGGTACCTGATCTCTGAAGAGGGAAGAACACCATGAGGATGGCAGGGTGAGGGAAGCAGGTGAGGGGGCTCACACACTGCAGTAGTGGTAGCTTCTCTCCCCTTCCCCCACAAATGGCCATTGTCAAAGATAGTAGAGGAAGGAAAACTCTTGACATTCTGTTCCCTCTTTATCCGACCTTGACCTGGGTAATTTAAACCTTGTTCTAGTTCTATGTCCCTATTCTCACCACTAGAGTAATGCTAATAACTAAAGAAAGGAGAGCAAAGTGCTTTGCAGTCAAACAAAGCTTAGCTTTATTGCATCAACTCTCGCTTATCCATACTGAAGGAATGTATCCACCCTGAAATTGGCACTGTGGCATGGACATTCTGAAACAACCAGGGACAGAAAAGTCTTTGTTTTTGGAATATGCTATCTTGTTAAATGTTTGCTTTTTGAAATGGCAAATCCCCTCTTAATTATTTTTTTTTTAGCTCAGTTAAATATCAAAATTATCTTTTTTCCCCTTGAACTCCTTCCATTTACTGGCAAGATGGGCACTAAATGCTGGAGATCAGGACGAAAGAAAGTTTAAATTGAGACCTTGCCTTAGAGACCTATTGATATAAAAATGATAGTTTTTGCCGAGACCAATGACTTTTCTTCTTTTAAGAAAAAAACCCAAAAAGAAGCCAAATAACATGCACACCTCCTGGAATCATGGGAGAGACCCAGCATGACTCAGTAACAGGCCCATGTGGCTTTAGATACCATCTTAAATAGTTTAACAAGGACAAACGAAGTTGGAGGAAGAAAGGAGAAGTCCAGTTAGGGAGTTTATGAGGAAAAAACCAAAGGTATGCATTTAAGTTGTGCTTTCTCCAAAGAAAAGCAATAATTTGATTAAGTCTTCCTGGAGAGGCCCTTACAAAAACAAGTTTACATATAAGTATCAAATGTATTCTCTACTCAGCCTTCAGAATCTCTCCCATGAAATAAACGTCCTGCCAAAAAGACATTTTGGGATTGCAGATTTTTGCTCCCCTACAGTCCTGTCTTTTGGAACTTCTCAAAAAGTTCCACATTTCAGAAGTTGAGTTGTTCATTTATTTCATAGAACCAGTCTGAGTCCTGAGAATAAATCAATGCAATTAAAGCATTGTGTTCATTTTAGACCAAAGTGAATCTCCTATGTCAAACTTTTCCTGAAGCTTCCAAACCAAAGTTAAGGATTTAAACAATTGAGTGAATTAAATTTTCCATTCAACTAACTTTTATTTGGGGTGTCCATTGTGGCAGACATGTCTAGGGGTTGAAGAAATATCACATTAACTTTAACTTAGATGTCCTCCAGGAAATGACTTATTAGAGGAACAAATATGTGCATACATGTTCATAATAAATATGAGAAATAAGCAATGGGCTGGGAGTACAGATAAAATCTTGGGCATGCTCAAAGGAGAAGTTCTTCCTTGTTGGAAAATCACTGAAATATTGTGGATGGAGTAGCATTTTGGGAGACTTGAGGAATAAGTAGATTTTAGACACTTGGACATTCTAGGAGGTGACAGAGGCATAGAACAAAGTAGAGGATGTGTATGTGACCAGAAAAGCTTCATCCTGTGTGGAACACATGGGTATATGGGACCAGCAGATGATAAGGTTGCTGGAATAGGTCAGTGCCAGATTGGAGAGGACCTTGGATTGGTAGGCTTAAAAGTGATTTTTATCCTGTAGATGATGAGAATCCTTAATCATTTTGGTGCTGAAGAATTACATGATCATAGCTATGATTTGGAAAAGAGTGTAACGGATGTTTGAAAAGAACTTGGAGGCCAGATCACCAATTAGAGGCTACAACAAAGGTGAGGCTACAACCAGGCCAGGTGATTAAGGTTGCTCCTTTATCTTATACTCACTCTATTGTGAGACAGCTCCTCTCTCATAGCCCTGACTACTGTAGGCCATAGCA